TTTATAAGAACTAAAATATTTTTTACTTCAAAATTTAATATTTTCTATTTTTATCTAATTCTAAAGCAGAATTTGAAGTCTGGTGCATTTCTGAGTCCTTTGCTCATATTCCTGGAGTGGTCACCCAAACTTTAGAGTTTCCTTCTGTTGCCCACATCTCACATGAATCACCCTGGCACAAGTCTGGGCCTGACCCAGGCAACATCTCTTAGATTCATGGCTTTCAGAGAATGTGTACTTTGCTGTATTCTAAGACAGCTTCCTCTGTCCATCTGCTTGGAGTCTTCTTTTCATTGTAGCATGGCTATAGACCTCTGAATTCCCCCTATTCCTGATTGTCCTTCATGTCACTACAATCAAAGATATGTTCTCCTCTACTTAAGGTTCATGGATTATTGGAGAAGAGGAGGTAGGAAGAGTATTAAGGGCTTGGGATTGTAGATGACTATAAGAAAACGTTATTTTCTGGACACAGAAAGGCAACTGCACATATGCACTCACACTGGTTGTTACAGCACACACAAATCTGTGCAAGTCCAAAACAGAACAAATGTCAGTGTGTAGTGGAAAGGTGAGCACACAAATCCCATCCTCAGCCATGGAGCTACTGGATATTGTTAGTTGCTGGCAGAAAGAGAGGGAGTTCTCTGTAAGAGTGTAGCCCCTCATTTGAAACATAGTGTGTTTATTGCTGAACTCTTGTCTTTCCTTAATCCTATCCCTACTCCTCCCTCAGTGTCTCCAGTGATAGTTATTGGCTTCTCTGTTTAACATATGCTTAGATGAAGGAACTCCTAAAGTCTATCTACATCTTTCTCTCACACCCAGCACCCCAGTTCTCCTGGTCTTTAAGATATATCCTGTACTAAATCATTTCAACTCTTCCACAATCGACCATCCTGGTCACCCACCATCCTCCTGATATCCAGCTTACATTTTGTCTATAGAACTCTTTTATCTTTCAGTATGCATTCTATAAAACTTAAAGAGAAAGCAAACTCCTCCTAATGTCAAAAAGAACATACTATAACCTGGTATTTGGATACATTAGAGGGTAGCATGAAAATATGCAATAAAATAATCAGCAAATGCTTTACCAGAAAAAAAAAGAGTGTAGCCCCTGGTATGTCTCCCACACTCCAGTGTTAGACCACACATCCAAGAACATTTATGTAGCACAAATTAGTCTTGAAGGAAAAAAAAGACACAAAGTTGGATGAGTGGGGAAGTGGGGTGGATCTGAGAAGATGTAGAAGAGGAGGTGAAAATAATCAAAGTACATTATATGAAACTCTCAAAGAACTAACAGTTCTCTTTGTCTTTGAATCCTCAGGAAATAGAACAATATAATGATAAACAAAGCCTGGAAGTGAGGTTGGATTATATGATGCTGTGGTTTGCAGCCTGGTTATCCTCTCAGACTCATGTATCAGAGCTGTGATTCCAGAGTGGCAGAGTTATGAGGTGGAGTCTAGTGTGTTATTTTAAGTCATGGGATATGGTGCATGAAAGGGATTGTGTGATTCTCATCTCTTCCTCTCTCCCTCACTTTCAGTGTAGCAACCATGAGGTAAGCAGTTTTGATCTTACCTAACTGTGGGCTCAAGAGCAACAGGGCTTATTGATTGTGAACTGAAGACTCCCTACATATGAACCAAAGCAAATAGTTTCTCCTGTTAAGTTCCTTATCTTAGGTATGTGTAACAGTAAGGGAAAGCTCACACTCCTGATTCACTGCATGTGTGACTGAAGCAAGGTGTAAAACATCTTGCTTCATTCATGAGATAAGGATGACAGTTGTGGGGGACAAGACCTGGCTCAGCAGTTAAAGCACTTGTCTTGTAGGCAGCAGCCTGATGAGCAGAGTTCACATCCCCAAGAACCCACATCAGTGCCTGTGGTAGTACTAGCCTGTACTTGCAGCACTCAGGAGACAGAGGTGACAAATCCCTTAAGTAGTGTATCTGGACTAGCTGTACCAGCAAGCCCTGGATTTCATTGAGGAATCCTTCCTGGACACGTAAGAGAAAGAATGGTTGAAGAAGACTCCTGATATCATTCTGCAGCTTCCACATACACACTCACATGTCCCCACATTCTCCCACAGCTGTAGATCTGCACACAAGCACATATGTATGCACATCGCCCCACAGCATCAGATATTGAAACAAAAAAAGAAAGAGGAAGGAAGGAAGAGAGAGAGAGAGGAAAGAAGGGGGGAAGGAAAGAAAGGATAACAGTAGCATCTGCATCATAGGATATGTGGAAATATTTGATGAGATAATATAAGCAAAGACCTGAGGAAATAGCTAACATACTAGAGCCACAATTGTTAGAGGCTATTGGTTAGGTCCCTACTTGTTTAGCATATTACTAATTTTTCTTCTTTAATCACAATCTTTTCATTGATAACTATGCCTCCCGCTGAACTTAAAAGTCAACTCTAGTCGCACCTCTCCATTGAAAGACCCCCGAAGAGGTACTTTTGTAGAAGGAGACCCGTACCCAGAAACCAGCGAGACCACGGACTTGGATGCAAAACCGCAAGAGGTTTTATTAGAGACGCGGGTACCCGGGGCGACTTAGCTTCTGTGTGGCTAAGCGCGCCGAGCCAAGGGAAAGGGGTCCTTATATAGGGAAAAAGGCGCAAGCTAGAAGCAGAGATTCTATTGGATAATTCTAATGAGGCATTGTACAGAGCTATTCCCATTGGTCAATGTAAATGAGGCGCTATATAGGGTTATTCAAATGAGGCGAAGTATAGAGTCATTCAAATGAGGTGAAACACAGAGTCTTTCAAATGAGGCAAAATACAGAATCATTTCTATTGGATGGTTCAAATGAGACACAGAGCCATTCCAGATCAGCATATTCTCAAGGTCTGGTGTCTGGTACAACAGATTCAATTCCCTCCGCGGCCGGATAGCTGACCTTGGGACCGAGGGTGGGGGTGTGGGGGCGGGGCCCCAGGCCGGCCCACCTGGTGCTCTTTGCTCGGCCCCAGCCCCAAGGCACGGTGCTAGGCGGGGCGGGCGGGGGGGCGCGGGGCCTGCCGGGGGGAAGGCCTGGGAGGGCCGGG